GAAATCAACCCTTTTTCTAAAGCAGATCAGCTCAAAGATAGAAACATGAAGTACACCTAGAAAAATAACAGTGTTTCCTATGTAACATCGAGCAGCTTCTGTTATGTTTTGGGGCTGTGAAAAAGTGGAAAAACCTTTGTTTTTGCATTTGTGATCAAAGTTATATAAAACGGTGAGTTAGAAGCTTAACCTCTTTTCTTTTATTAAAATTTTACACCTTAACCTCTGTTTGTTTTTCATGTTTTTGTGACCTTCAATAATTGTTCAAACACAGCCACCACATAGAAGACACACCTATTCCTGAAACTAAAACCTGATTTTCTTCCCACATTGCACCTTGTCAAGACTTGTCTTTATTCCCTCCTCCTCAGATCTAGAAGTAAACTAGTAAATCTATCTGCTCCCTGGTTTCATTCACTGCAGCAGCACATGGTATTTAGATCAGAACTTAGACTGATTTCTGTTGTACGGAAGTAAAAACTACAGTTTTATAACTGGGAAAATGGAGCGGAGAGGACTTCTGATGGATGATCAAAAGTTATCCTGTTCCATCTGTTTGGATTTACTAAAGGATCCAGTTACTATTCCATGTGGACACAGCTACTGTATGAACTGTATCAAAGTTCACTGGGATGGAGAAGATCAGAGGAGGATCTACAGCTGCCCTCAGTGCAGGAAAGAGTTCATACCGAGGCCTGTGCAGGAGAAAAGCATCATATTGGCTGAAATGGTGGAGGATCTGAAGAAGACAAGACTCCAAGCTGCTCCAGCTGATCACTGCTATGCTGGACCTGAAGATGTGGCCTGTGATGTCTGCACTGGGAGGAAAAGGAAAGCTATCAAGTCCTGCTTATCCTGCCCTGCTTCCTACTGTAGTGATCATCTCCAGCCTCACTATGATGCTCCACCATTAAAGAAGCACAAACTGGTGAATCCCTCCATGAAGCTCCAGGAGAACGTCTGTTCTCGTCATGATGAGGTGATGAAGATCTTCTGTCGTACTGATCAGCAGTGTATCTGTTATCTCTGCACCATGGATGAACATAAAGGCCATGAAACAGTCCCAGTTGCAGCAGAAAGGACTGAGAAGCAGAAGGAGCTCCAGGAGAGACAACAACAAATCCATCAGAGAATCCAGGACCAGGAGAAAGATGTGAAGTTGCTTCAACAGGAGGTGGAGGCCATCAATTTATCTGCTGATAAAGCAGTGAAGGACAGTGAGAAGATCTTCACTGATCTGATCCGTCTCATCCAGAAAAGAAGCTCTGATGTGAAGCAGCAGATCAGATCCCAGCAGGAAACTGAAGTGAGTCGAGTTAAAAAGCTTCAGAAGAAGCTGGAGCAGGAGATCACTGAGCTGAAGAGGAAAGATGCTGAGCTGGAGAAGCTCTCAATCACAGAGGATCACCCCCAGTTTCTCCAGAACTACCCCTCACTGTCAGCACTCAGTGAGTCTACACACTCATCCAGCATCAATATTCGTCCTCTCAGATACTTTGAGGATGTGACAGCAGCTGTGTCAGAGCTCAGAGAGAAACTGCAGGACATCCTGAGAGACACGGGGACAAACATCTCACTGGCCGTCACTGACGTGGATGTTTTTCTTAAAGATCCAATACCAAAGTTAAGAGATAGATTTTTAAAGTACTTTAAAAAAATCACCCTGGATTCAAACACAGCACACAGGAAGCTAATTTTATCCGAGGGCAACAGAAAGGTGACATCAATTGACCAACTACAGTCTTACCCTGATCATCCAGACAGGTTCATTGATTATGAACAGGTCCTCAGTAGAGAGAGTGTGACTGGACGCTGTTACTGGGAGGTGCAGTGGAGCAGAGCAGGAGTCTACGTAGCAGTTTCATACAAAAATGTCCGCAGCGGATCAAAGGAATATTTGATAGGATTTAATGATAAATCTTGGTCATTATACTGTGACAAAGACAATTATATATTTTGTCACAACAACATTAAAACTCCAGCATCAGGTCCACTTTCCTCCAGAATAGGAGTGTATCTGGATCACAGAGCAGGTATTCTGTGTTTCTACAGCGTCTCTAAAACCATGACTCTCCTGCATAGAGTCCAGACCACATTCACTCAGCCTCTATATGCTGGAGTTTATGTTTCTGCTGGATCTTCTGCTGAGTTTGTTAAATTATGTTAAACAAAACTGACTTGAGGTCCACTTTGAAAATAATGATATTTTAATTGAATCTTCTTTAGGGTTGTGTCTTTCTGGTCTGTAGTCACTATGATGCATAACTAATTATTTCATGTAATTTAAGATGCATGATTAACAAAACAACAAAAGAAATTATGCAAAACGTATATCAGCTTTGGAGTCATTCACTAATTTAAACCTTATTTAAAACTAGTTTTTCTTTACTGCTCAGAGATCAGATGGCTTTATTTAACAATTTTATAACCCTGTTTGTTGTTTTGTTGATGTTTGAGTTAGTTTGGGTGCTGCCACTTCCTGTTTCTGTTCAGCCATGGAAGACTGTGAATACATTTTATTTCTATGTGAACTGACAAGCATAATTCTCCAGCAGCTCTTTATTGATTTAATGTGTCAGTCCTTGATTTGTCAATTTTTTTCCTAGACGTGTAATTCCTTGGCATGTCAGACATAGCATAGGCACAGTATGATTGGTTGAAGGGCAGTTGTACTCCACATAAAGGAATCATTAGACAGTGTCATTGTTGCGTGAATAACGATAATAAATTCGATTTAATCAAGCATCTTAGTAGGCAGATCACAATTATTTCATAGTAGCCTGTTTTTGTATAACCTTTAACCTCTTTGGGGTGATTTTGTGAGTATGTGTGTGGACATATGTATAGACATAAGTGTATTAATGTTGATGTAAAGGCAAGTTTTTAAGCTGGAGGGGTACGTTTGAAGGTGTGGCGAGATCTTTAAACGACCAGCCATCCACATGCCCGATGAACATGGAAGGGCAGGTAGACCCGAACCCTGGAGGCTGCAGCAATCCCATGCTGCCAAACTCAGACCTTAACCCCAAAGCATCGATATTCAAGCCAGATTGCCAGTGAGTCACAGTGGCGACTCTGACCCGTGGCAACCAGACTGGCCACTAAGAAGGCTGTAGTAGCCGTTAACAGCAATTAAGGTTTGTCTTTTATTCATTTAAAGGTTTGTGGTGTATCTTATGTCTCTGAAAATAATGCCATTTTGTTTTGGTAGAATAAGTTATTAAAGATGGCTTAGTATTGGAATATTAAAAGGAGTCTGTGCTGATTTTCATTCTCTTTGTGTTTTATTGAATTTTATTAACACATTTGAGACATAAGTGTGGTGAAAACAAAATTTGTCACAGGATGGCGCCAAATACAACATGTTCCTCAGCACAAAAGGGATGCTTTATGCATAAAAATGTACCCTTAATCTAAAAACAGCAGCTCAGATTGACTCAGACTGACTCTTGTCACATATTTTTAATAATAATTATTTTTATTTATAAGAGTTATTTACTTGCATTATATTTCCTTATTTTAAGGCCACACCTTTAACTACCACAACACTGAACCAACAGGTTAGACATATACACTAACTGTCAATTCTTTTTGAAGTAGGAGCCTGTTTTAAATGATGAACCATCATATTAGACTGAAAAAACTAATCACATACCTTTTGTCCGATTTAATCTATTGTGTATTTTTGATATCTTTATTGAAAATAGGATTAAATCATTATTATAGATGAAAAATAAAAAAGCAGAGATGATATAAAGGTAGTGGTTGAACTAACAAATGCTGCCGAATTGGAGAATAGAGATAGAACGAAGCAGAGAAAAAGTGGTCCCTATGTCCTTCAGCAGGCTGAGCCTATAGCAGCACAACTATAAATATACTGAGCAATGATGAAAAATAATACCAATGTTTTACTTTATTTTTGTTGCACAATTTAATGCCATCAGGTCTTAGTTTAAACTGTTGATTGATTTTATAATAATGTTTATCGTTTAGGCTACATGGTAAAACAGTGTGTAGCAATAATGGCCTTTGAGCAAGAGAGCCTGGTTTGATTCCTAGCCTTGGGTCTCTGTTAGATGAATTGGCATCTCTAAATTATGTTTGTTTGTGGTTTTGTGTCTCTGTGTCGCCCTGTGACAGATTGTTGACCTGTCCAGAGTGTATCCCACCTCTCTCTGCAACCCTGACGTAATAAGAATGAGAAGATGGATGGATGTTTGTGATTTATAAATTACTTTGGTTATTTTAAGGTGCTTAGTGCCATTTATTGCCCACAGTTGGGCTGACTGCCAATGAGTCATTTATTATCCCACACACAATCCCAGATGATGCCAAGCTTTCAGCTTGGTTGTAATAGTTATTGTGTATTAAATATTCATACTGTGTTGAAGGTTAATTTGGGGCCTAGATGGTTAGCAGTTTCCATTTGGAACCCACTTAGTTTACAGCCAATAGAGAATCTGCTTCACATGTTTTCAGTAATTAACTCTTTTAAAAGGTGTGCTGCTTCACACATGTGCCTGAAAATATAAAGAAAACTTTCTGTTAAAGAAGCTGTTTGCTCTCACCTTGCTAGTTTTGTGATTCTATGTTTTATCTAAATAGTTTGGACACCTTACTGTCTGAAAAACCAGCAGGGTCTTTGTTTTTCACAGAGGAAGTGAAAAGAGCAGAGGGTTTTTCAGTCATTCGACGGTTGACAGGATGCAGGTAACACCGCTTTGTCTGATGCTGAGTGAGTATAAACACAGCACTATCCGTTCAAAACTACTCAGACACAGATTGCTTGAATTTTAAATAGTTCTACATATTATTGGATGTGCTTGCTTGACATTCGATTTAGTATCTGGTGTAACCTTTTTTTGTTATAATCTGGGTAAACTCTCATTATGTCTTAAAATTATTGCTTTTCTTAACTGACACCAATTTTGGAAGCATTTTCCTCCATATGCTTTTTCTTTTTTTTTATAATCATTTCGGAATCATTTTTGAGACCTTCCTCAGTTCTCTTTTCACTTGTTTTTACCTTCTGTTTTAACTCCCAGCTGGCCCCTCTTAATTTCGATTAACTTTTTGAGTTGATTTCTTATCTCAATTTTTTGTTTTATGGCTGTACTTGCTTTGAACCTTTTAAGTGAGAAATACAATTCTTTCTCTTATCATTGTGTTGTATTTACTCTTAATTTTCTATTTCTTTCCTTGGTTTCCCTAATATTCTTTGCTTTTTTAATCCATTTGAACCATCCTTTCCTCCTCCCAGCCTGTCTGAAGGTCAGCCCTGATCGGTCCCAGTTCTTCCGCTATGAATCCATCTCCTTAAGCTGTGAGGATCCTTTGAACTCCACTGACTGGAAGGTAAAGAGGAATACTTCTGATGGCGGGGTCAGGCTCTGCTCCTCAGGCTGGGGCTTCGCCTCTGCAGGCTTCAGCTGCATCATTGGAAACACCTACCCGAAGGACACTGGGGTTTACTGGTGCGAGTCGGATGGACAGGAGCGAAGCAATGTGGTCAACATCACCATAACTGGTACAGAAAATCTATACTGGTGTAATAATACAGCTGACTGACAGTTTGGTAAAATAGGTGCGTGTGGTGGTGGTGGTGACTTTAAGTCTAATACCCTCTTCAGCACATATATGTAAATAATAATGCACTGTGAAAATTCCATCTTCCTCCGCTTATCCGGGGTCGGGTCACGGGGGCAGCAGCCTAAGAAGGGAGGCCCAGACTTCCCTCTCCCCAGCCACTTCTTCTAGCCCCTCAGGAGGAACCCCAAGGCGTTCCCAGGCCAGCCGAGAAACAAAACAGATTTTAAGACAGGATTTTATTTTATTTTTTTAATAGAAAT